TTCCTGCCCTTCTTTTAAAAAGCAGAGAAATCTTCTCCTTGAAACGCCAGTGGATCCGTTTTCCAAAGCGCCTTAGAAACGGGGGGAGGGAAGTGTAATCCCCCCCAAAAATCCCACCAAGGCCCCCACCCACCGACGTACTATGTCTCTCACTCTTGGGAGACAGAGTTTCCCCTCCTTTTAAACGATCTTTCGTGTCTACAAACACCAAACCCGCTTCTCATTCGGGATCGCTTCTTTTCGACGAATCGGGCAAAAAAAAAGTTCCCGAAACGCAAGTCGTTAAAAGAAACGCGCACCAAACTACTAATGACTCCCTACTCCCCAAACTACCTTTTTCTTGCTCTTTTGGACAACCTTAAAAAGCCTGAGAGAGGCTTTGAACCCTCGTCGATTTTTAAAGAAATTAAACCAAAGCAAAACAAACGCGTTTGCCTGTAACGAATTGAGAATCGGACTGATTCAACTACGTTCTTGCGTTCCTTCAAGTAGTTTCTGACTTATGGCGACTTATCACGGGGTTTTCTTGGCAAGATTTGTTCAGAGGAAGGTTGCTGTTGCCTTCCCCTGAGAAGGCTGAGAGAGTGTGACATCCCTTTAAAAAGGTCGGCCTCTTTCTTAAGTTTTCAGACTCCCAGGCATTGAAGCCACCTGTTCGGTCTCTGCAAAGATCTGGGGCTATTTTAGGAGGGATGGAAATCGAGACAACTAACGATCTAAATTCACGCCCCAGGATCGTTTACGAAAATAAGGATCGGACCGAAAATCTAGTAAAAAGTTAGCATTTTTTATGCTGCGGAAAATACGTTTTTGTACGGCTAACCGCTTTGCCACATTAAATTCGGCCCAACGGGGGGAGTAGTAGTAAATTCCCGGTAAATTCCTAGTGCAATTATACACACACACACACATATATATGAAACTCTCTCTATATATAGTGCAAATATGCACTCATATGTGCAAATATATATATATAGTGCAATTATACACACACACACACACATATATATATATGCAACTATATATATTGCAATTGTACACACACACACGTATATATGCAACTATATATATATATATATATATATATATATATATATAGTGCAAATATACACACATATATGCAACTATATATATAGTGCAATTATACACACACACATATATATGCAACTATATATATATATATAGTGTAATTATACACACATACATATATATGCAACTATATATATTGCAATTGTACACACACATATATACAACTCTCTCTCTATATATATAGTGCAAATATACACACATATATGCAACTATATATATATATAGTGTAATTATACACACACACATACATATATATGCAACTATATATATAGTGCAATTATACACACACATATATACAACTCTCTCTCTCTCTCTCTCTCTCTCTCTCTCTCTATATATATATATATATATATATTGCAATTATACACACACATATGTATGTATGAGCTATAAATATATAAAAGCGATAAATATACACAAGAGAGAAGTATATAAAAAGAATAGTATCTGAATTGATTTGTAGACCTATCTTACGACGAGCCCTTTCTTTTACACTAAAATCCTATTGTGGCGACCTGAGGTTATAATATAAGCAATTAAAACTGAACTGACAAACAAAACACAGTTGGTTTAGAGCAGACCCACTCCGAGGTAAATTCCATGGATTCAACAGGTCTCCTTTAGGTTTTAGTAATGCATCTGAGGAAGAAGATTTAAATCTAGGAAAGCTCATGCTGCCAACTTCTTTCTTTCAGTGGGTCTCAAAGGGGCTCCAAGATCCCTTTGCATACTGATTTCCCAGACCAACACGGCTATATCTCTGACTTCTATCACTTTAGGTAGGACTAGCCACAGAATTTTGGCCTTCATCCCTCTCTTT